AAAGCATAGACTTAGACAAGCCAGGCGTAGTACCTCGTCCGCCTCTTCGGCTGCGTCTGTGGCGTGGTGTGTCCTCGTCCAGTCGAGTGAGCGTCGTCCCCCCAGCAGCAGGCGCTGGCCGGTTTGCAGCAGGTCTCGGACTTCAAGTAGTTCTCCTCTGTCTGGGTTGTCGCCCCCAAGCGCCACGCGGTCTGCCATCATCCCCACGACTAAGGCCGCTACTTGGAAAGCGTTGGGGCTTGGCCAGAGCTGCTGCGGTTCGTTCCCCCCACCTGTCGGTAGGAGTGCTCTGGCCTCCCTCACCAGTCTCTCAACTTCTGGGAGGTGAAGTTGTTGGGCAATGTTTGTGGCTTCCTCCAGGTGTTGTGCTGCGTTCGCTGCGGCGCTGCTGTGTTGGTCTTGGTCTTGTCCCCCTTGTGCTTCCGCCTCGCCCCCCTCTGCCGTGTCTCTGATGTGGGCGTTTGGCTGCCTTGCTTGTTCGGCTGCTGCTTGTGTTTCTGCTTCCTGGCTCTGTAGTAGCTGCGAAGCTTGGCTTCTGGCTTTTTTGAGTGGGCTGGGGGTGTTGTCGCCTCCCTGCGGGTCGTCTGCTTGCCTTCTCTGTCGTCCCCCGCTTTGGCTGGCTGCTGCTGTTGGTTCTGTGGTGTGGGGCTGGTGTTGCTGCTGCTCCTCTGGCAGGGGCAAACTGCTGCCGCGCTCGGTTCGCATGAAGAGCTCCCCCCACATCTCTTCTTCTGTGGTGGTGCCTGGCATATCTTCTGTGGCCAGGGAGCTTGGGCTGTGGTTTGGCCTCGTAGGCGGGTTGCAGGGGGGTGGGATCCATGGCACTGTGTCTGCCTCCGCGGTGTCCGGAGGGGTGCTGTTGTCTGGGAGCGTGGGCTGGGGTCGCATTCCCCTTGGTGAGCTTCCCCCCCTTTGCATGAGGCTCTGGTGGTCTGGCGGGGGGTCTTCGCTGGGCCAGCTGCTTTCGGAGTCGCTTGGCGGCTGGGGCGGCGGCCTTTTGGGGGTGTTGGCGGCTTCAGTTTGCCTTTGCCTTCTTCCGTAAAAGGCTGCGACTGCTGCTGCAGAGTAGAAGGAGTATCCGTGAGCCCCCTCGGCTGCGTGTGTCGACTGCGCTTGCGTCTGCTGATGTGTTCCTTGTGCTTGTGGTGGCTGTGGTGGCTGCTTGGGGATAGCCCTCTTCTGTTGTTGTTGGGTCGGTTGCTGTGGCGGCGCTTTGGACTTTGTGGGTCCTGCCTGGGCTGGCCTTTGTGCTGCTCCGTCTGCTTGTCCCGGCGGCTGTCTGGTTTGCGGTGGCGGCTTGGGCTGCGGCTGGCTGCTGCTGCTGTCGTCTGTCGTTTCTTGTGCGGTGGGCAGATGCTGTAGGTCTGCGTCGGCCACCGTGCTCGGGGCCTCCTCTGTCTGCTCGTGGGTGGTACTGTCCCGGCCGGCTTGTTGCTGCGTCTGTTGTGGCTCCTCCTCTTCGGCTGCTGCTGTTGCTTCCTCGTGTGGTTGTGGTTGTGGTTGTGGGGTGGCTTCTGCTGTCGATGCCGTTGCTCCTTGCTCTGTTGCTGTGGCGGTCTGGTCCCCCCGAGCTTGTGCGTGTATCCTGGCTGCTGCCGCCCATGGGTGTAGTGCTTGGTCCCCGTCCATTTCGTCCGCTGGGAAGACCAGGGGTGTCCCCCCGGGCTGTAGACTGGCTGCTAGCGCCGTGGCTCTGTGTCCCCTGGGTGCATAGGGGTCCTCAAGCGGGAATTGGACCCTGCTCCTCAACGTAAAAACGACCCCCGCCTCCTCTGGCCTCTGGTTCCAGGGCCATTTGCAGCAGCTCGTGCTCTTGTAGGTGTGCTGACATGTTAGGCGGATTGCCTTGTGCTTGGCGGCGGGTGCTGTGGAGCAAGTCCCCGTCTTCTGGGTCGAGCCTTGTGAGGCTGTGTTGTTGCGTGGAAGCGTCCCACTGTAGCCTGTAGTGGCCTGTGCTAAAGGCCGAAGCGTCCGGTTCGCGCTCCCTCGGGTATGCACGCAGCAGCACGTGCCATGCGGCCCCCCCCCCCCCCTCGCAGTGGGTGCATTTCGCCTTGGGCTCCCATGGAGAGCAACCCCCCTCTGTGAGGTTTCCTGGCTTGCTGCCTAACTCTTGCGAACCCCCTCCTCTGCACTCTGGTAGCTCGGTGTCGCTGGCGAAGTTCTGGACAGCACGCAAAAGGCCCATCCTCCATGCCCCAGGTACCGAAAATGCGCATAGGAGTGCATGGTGATGGGGAGCTCGGCTGGCATTGGATTGGGGGGGAGGTATCCCCCCATGGAGGCCATGCAGTAGTTGGCCGCTGTGCTCCATGTGATCGGTGAGTCGAGGGGGAATAGTCTGGGCAGTGGCCCGCCTGTGGGGATGTGAACTGCCCCCCGCCGATGGTGCTGGTCTGGCTCCTCTGCTGCTGTGGCTGTAGTTGGGAGTGGTTGTGGTTGTGACTGGTGGCTTGCTGCTGCCGATGTCGCTTCGCTTTGCTCCGCGGTCTGCCCCCGCGTTCCCCTCCGCTGCTGGGGGGGTGTGTCCTTTGCTTGTAGCGCCTCCATCCTGCTGCGGTGTCGCTCTTTGGCTGCCGTGTCTGCTTTGCTCCCTGGTGCCGGCTCGGTGCTGCTGCTGGCTGCTTGGTGTGGGGTGGCTGCCGGTGGTTGTCTTGGAAGGTGGTGGAGGTTGAGCAGCTCTGCAAACTTGGCTTTGTCTTGCTCGTATTTAGCTTTTGCTTCGGCTGCCGCTTTGCTGTCTGGGGGCGGCTCCCCGCTGCTGCTTGCTGGCTGTGGGGGTGTCCCCCCATCTTGTTGGGGCTCATCCGCGAAGGGGGTCATCCCAACCATGTGGGCTGCTTCGTTCCAGCTGAGGTGCGGGGGTTTCTCGACCCCCTGCCGCCTAAATTCGGCTCTTATCTGCGACTTCGTATGTTTATTCCCCCTTCTTTGGTCGCCTTGCCCTTCGTGGTAGGGCTTGTCTGCTTGCCCGCATTTGCTGTCTGCGGGGCAGCTCTCTTCCAGCGGCGGAACATCTGTCCCCCCTTGGTCTTGCTCTTGGCTGGCTGCTGCTGCTTCTGTCGCGGGTTCACTGCTTGCTGTGGCCGCTGCCGATTGTTGGTTGTGGGGAATCGTCGTAGCGTCAGGTGTCGTTGCACCTCCCCCACGGTGCTGTTGCTGTTGCGGCACTGGCTGTGCAGTGTGTGGTGTCTGCGTCTGCTGTTGTGCGGTGTGGGTGTCGGGTGGCCGCTGCTGGGTTTGCTCTTCCTGCTTGCGGTCCACGTGGACTTCCCCTGTTGTGGCTGCTTGCTGCCGCCATCTGCCTGGCCTGGTTCCCCCTTCGTTGGGTGTTCCCGTTGCTGCTCGTCCTTCCTGCTGGGACGGTGTTGCTGGCTGTGCCTGGACTGTCTCCTCTTCGGCCTCGTCTTGGTGGCAGGGAGCTGTGTCTGTTGTGGGTGGCTGCCAAGGCTGTCTGTCGTCTGCCTGGCTGGCCCCCTGCGGCCCGCTGCTAGTGATCTCCGGCTCCTCCGGGTGCCATGGGTCTTCTGGTGCCTCTCTCCCCGGCTGTCGGGGTGGTAGTGGCTGCATGGGTGATTGTTGTGTGGTCCTGGCGGCCCCGTTGCTGCTTGCTGCTGTTTGTGAGTCGTCTTCTTGGTGCCAGGGGTCTGTTGCCGGGTCGTAAGGCTCTGGGAAACGGAGGGTCCATGGCCCCCTCGTCGCTGCGGCTGCTGGCGTAGCTGTGGTTCCCCCTGCGGCGGCTGCGGCTTGGCTGAGCTGCTGTGCTTCGGGGTTCGCTGCCCCCGCGGCCTGCGGCACTTCGCTGGCTGGTCCCTGCTGCTGGGGTTGCACGTCCCCCCAGATTTCGTCTTCGATCGTGTCTTCAGGCAGTCGAGGCATCCAGCGGCCTTCGCGGAAGACCCATGTTGTCCCCCTCGGCCACTGCTGTGTTAAGCTCTCTGGTGGTGGAGGTGGCGGTGGGCTCGTCGTCGTCGTGGTGTGCGGGGGGCCTAGGCGTGTCGTCCCTGGCGTCCCCCACGCCACGAAGAGTAGGCACACCCATAGCCCTTTGCCTCTCCTGCTGCCCCCTGTTCTGGGCTGCATCGCTGCGGGCTCTCCGGGTGCCATGCCGACTAGTGGCGTCAAAGTTCTGTTGCTGAGGCTCGGGCTGTAGTCGGTACAGCGGGCTGCTCCAAACATGGTCATGCATGCGACTGAACAAGACAACTGCAAATGCGGCATGTGGCAAACTGTCTCTGTGCTCTCCTCTCTCTCTCTCCTCTGCTGTGGCGCGGCTGCAACTGAGTGTGTCGTGCATCCCCCCCCATCGTTGTGCGTGGTTGGTGCCGGCGGGTGTGACACGCAAACGGCGTGCAACGGTCCCCCCACAGGATGCATGCATGTGTCCGGGTGTGTGCCCATCATTTATGCTCTGCCGTCCCTGAGGTGGTGATGTCCCCGCGGCCTCCTCGTGCGGTTTCGGAGGGCTTGTTGCCGTCCTCTTCGGGTGGGGGCGAGATTCTGCAGCTGCCCCTGCTTGCCACTGCACCATGGTGGGTCGAAGGCTTGGATGAATCTATCTTCCAGGCTGCGCCACCTGATGCGGTCTGCTGCCACCTGCTCCCACTGCGCCCCCGCAATTGTGACGATGTGTCTCTCAGTGTCTAGGCTGCTGTTGAACCTGCTGGCGTGCCTGGCTCCAATCCCTTGTGGCAGTCCTTGCTGTTGGCGCCACCACCTCATCCCCCTCCACTGTAGCATGTCGAGCGTGGCCTGTTCTGCCCTGGCAACGTGCCCCCACAGCCCCCAAACCATGCGGAGCACGTGTGTCGACCACCGGTCCTGGTTGTTCTTGTGCAGGTGCACTCGTGCCATGCGGAGTGTGCGCGTGTTCCAGTCCGTCCATGCCTCCCCCGGTGCGCGCGCCCCCCCCCACCATGGTTCGGACCTGCTGTAACTGGAGCGTTTCGCACCCCCACAGAGCGCTCTGTCTCACCAGGGTGGTGTGCAGGTTGAGTCTGCGTTTCAGCGCCGTCTTGGCTGTGAGGATCTTCTTGTTCTTGCCGAAGGCCTTGCGCCCTCGGGTCCCCATCTCGGCTGCCAAGTGTTGTGGTCCCCCCGCAAAGCTGACTGGTGAGCCAAGCACCGTGAGGGCTGCGTCCCCTCCTTCTGGTGTGACCACCTGCCCGTCGATCTTGAATTTGAAGGGGTTGTCAGTGTTGGTGATGATGCGTGTCTTCTTGGGGTTGATTTTGAGGCCGTGCTTCTGGAGGGTCTTCTGGAGCTTGTCCAGGGTGGCTTGGAGGTGTAGTGGGTTCTCCCCCCAGAGGTAGGTGTCGTCCATGTAACTTCCGCCATGTGGGGGTGGGGGGAGGAGTGGGTTGTCCCCCCCTCTGTCTTGCTGTTGGGTGTGGGCCAGAGTCTCCAACAGCGCCTCCCCCACTCTGGCCGAAAAAAGGACAGGGGAGTCCGGGGATCCCTGTCGCACCCCGTTCGTTTGACCTCCCTGGCTTGGAGCAGACTAAGCCACAAGCGTGCCTCCCATGGGTGTGCGGGCCCCACCTTCTCCTCCACGAGTCTGGCCAGGCTGGTTTGCGCCACCGAGTCAAACGCCTTCTGTAGATCAAGCTTCACAATCCAAAAAGGCCCGCCACCTTCCGCAAGGTTAAGATGAGTTCCGTGCCTTGCTTCCTCGGCGCTGCCCACTGGAGGGTGTTGAGGGGCTGCAGCGTGTACGCGCAGCGCCGCAGCAGCAGTTGTGCGATGGCTTTGAGCACCGTGCTGCTGAGGGTGATCGGTCTGGTCTCCCCCCATCCCTTGGGCTGGACTTCTTTGGGGAGCAATACTGTGAGTCCCTTTTCCACTGCTGCGGGGAGTGTCCCCGTGTAGAGGGCGTCGCTGAGCATCTCCCGCAGCCTCCCCTCCCAGATGGGGTGTTGTTTGAGGATGTGCAGTGCCTCATGCGCGATCATGTCTGGGCCCGTGCACTTGTTGTTCTTCCAGCGCACGGAGACCGCCAGGAGCTCGTCTTGGGTAAAGGGCAACCACGGTTTGTGTTTGCACCGGGCGGCTAGCCTCCCCCGTCTCTGTTGGAAGTCGGTGTCTCGCGTCCCCCCGTCGGCCTTGGCAAAGATCTGCTTGAAGTGTGCCAGCAGCGCCCCCTGCCAGTCGTGCGTGTCCGTAAGCGCGGCCACCCATGCATCCCCCTGGCTGTTGTTGCGTTTTTGCTGACGGTATGCTGACCAGTCGTGTTGGCTGGCCTTGTCGGCGAGCTGCTGCTTCCAGGTTCTGTGTTCTTTGTGGAGTTGCTTGTGGATGTTCTTCCATGCTTGTCTTCGCTCTCCCCCTGGTGGCAGCTGATGTGCTCTGCGGCGGCTGAGTTTCAGGCTTCTGCTCTCCGCGAAGCGGTCGTTGTCTCCCCTGCCCGGTTTGGTGATGGCCTGGCTGAGTGTCGAGATTTGCTGGTGCCTGTCCCCCGGCGGGACTTGTGCTGCTGTGTCCAGGTTGTGCTCCAGGTCCTCTTGGTTGCGGATGCTAACGTGTCGTGCGCCACAGGTGGCCTTGTTTGGGGTTGGCGGTGGCGGGGTTGCTCGTAGCTGGAGGGTGACCGCCTCGTGGTCGGATCTGGCAAGATCTCGTACTTCTTGAACTCCCCCTTCCAGCGAGAAGCAGCCTCTGAGGAAAACGTAGTCGAGGCGCCGGGGGCGTAGCATGGTGGCGTATGGAAAGTGGGACGGCCTGTCGAGGTCCTGCGGCGGCAGTCTCAACCCCACCCTTTGGTGCCATGCTAGGATAGCTTCTGCCCGGCTGGTGCGCCCTTGGGCCTGCTGGGTCCCCGCGTGCGGGCTGGGCACAAACTGCTCATTTGCGTCCATTCCCACCACAACCCTACGCTGTCTGAGGGCCACGCTTCCCCCCCACTCTGCTAGCAGCGCCTCGGTGTGTGCTGTGGTGGCATGGTGCGGGACGTGCGTGCTAAGGGCTCCCCATTTGTGTCCCAGGGTGGTGCTGAGGACGATTGCTACCCCCCCTGCATGACTTGTGTGTTGGTGTGTGTCATCTCATGCTTGCGAAAGGCCACCCCCTCCCCTCTCCACTCCCCTTCCTGCTTGCCAAATGCAATCTTCCACATGCTGCTGTGGGCAAAAAATTTGCCGGCTTCCGTGACAATCTCTTGAAACAAGAACACACGCACTGAGGAAAGAGCTTTGTTTCCCCCGATCGCCTGCAGCATCTCCAGTGCGTTTGCAGCAGAGAGGCCGCCCACGTTCCAGGTAGCCACGATGAAGGGTTCGGCCGATTCCCCCTTAAGGGGCAGCCGAGTCAGTGCATGAAACCTGGGGGTTTCATCCCCCTGCTCATCTGTGCTCTCGGTGGGTTCCGTCCCTCAGCGCAGCGCGGCCTTGAGGGTCCCCCACTCGCCTTCCACGTCTCCTTCCGGTTGGCCCAGTCCCCGAGCGATGGCCTTGATGTTGATCCATCCAGCCCCCGCCTCTTGGGCCTCCACTGTCCCGGTGGGCCACTCGGTTTCGATCTGGTTGAGGGCGGCTCCGAAGCTGAGGCAGAGCCGTTTGCATTTGCCGGCCAGCTGGACTCGTCGTCGCCGTTCTGGGGATTGCGACAGCTGCATCCAGAGGTATCTGGTTTTCCCTTCCGCGTTCGTCCCCATTGCAATATTTGCTTGCCGCACCCGTCGCAATGCCCCCGACAGTCGCTCTCTGAGGTCTTGGGTCGTCTCATTGTCTCGCGGCCCGTAGGGAAGGATGGCATAGCCCCGGCGGACCCCGGGGACGAATGCTTGGTCCACGTCCACATCCACACGAAGGTCCTTGATCATCTGTTGCACCCCTCTTAGCGTCTCTTCGGCTGGGGTGTCATCCCCCCAACCGCCCATGATGAGAGCCGGCTTTCTCCCCCCGAAGTCGGTGTCGGCTGTGCTCCCCGCAGCTGACTGCTGCAGGTTGTGCACTTTTGCTTCCAGGGTCTGCAAGCGTGCACTCATGCGGTGCTGGTCCCCCTGTATGGCCTCGACCGTCTGTTGTTGGTCCTGCTGCTGCGCCGTGATGGCTTGCAGGCGCTCCAGGGTCCTTTCGAGTTGTGCGGCCACCCCCGTCTCCACGCGGTCCATGCGTGCTCCTATCTCGGTGCGAAGGGTGGCGGTGCTAACCCCGATCTCTCCACGCACCACTTCTCTGATGGCGTCTAAGCTGATGCGCTCTTCCTCAGGTGCCCCCCGCTTCTTGGGGCTTGTGGTGGGCTCCTGGTTGCGATCGGTCTCCATGTCCCCCTGTCCTCCCCCTGCTCCAGCTGAAGAATTCATTCTTGATGCCGTCGGGGTAGTGTCACGTTGCACAACGTACGGGTACTTTGTCTCCCGATGTGGTAGCGCCGGCTCGCAACAAGGCCCCCCACAGTGCGAAGGGTCGCCAGCCCGTACTTATAGTTGTGGGCAATCTCCCCCGCACGCCTCGGAGAGGGATATTGTCGTGGATCAGTCCTGACTATGTCCCCCTGCCGGACCCCCGCGGTGAAGAGCAGTGAGGTTTTCCGTGAGGTAGTCCAGCAATTGCGTCGAGGAGGGAACAGGACAGTCCCTGACAGGCGGCCGGGTTGAGAGCGAGACCGGCCTGAGTAGCAAGAAAAGGAAAGAAGAGAACAAGAGGAGCGGGCAGTGCGGCCAGTCCCCCCTTGAACCTCTCTCTCTCTTGAGCCAAAATGGACACTCTCTCTCGCTCTCTCTCTCTCTTCTTGCTTGCTTGCTTGCTTGCTGACGGCTTCAGAGCTCTCTCTCTCTCACTCTCTCTCTCTTCTTGCTTGCTTGCTTGATTGCTTGCTGACGGCTTCAGAGCTCTCCCTCTCTCACTGTCTCTCTCTCTTCTGGCTTGCTTACTTGCTTGCTTGCTTGCTTGCTGACGGCTTCAGAGCTCTCTCTCTCTCACTCTCTCTCTCTCCCTTCTTGCTTGCTTGCTTGCGTGCTGACGGCTTCAGAGCTCTCTCTCTCTCTCTCACTCTCTCGCTCCTGCTCCCTCTAGATTGCCCCAAGGCGCTGCTTCCACTTTTGTTAATGCGACGTACTCACCATTAGGTCCTTTCCAAAGGTCCTGCATGCAAATTGCATGAGCCAGTGTCCTCGGACAAGCATCATCTCTGCGGCAGCCTTCTTGCGATCGATAATTTGCAAGGTGTTGTCCGGCTTGATTTGGCCGATGTCTCCGGTTCTGAAGAATCGAACACCATCGATGTCCACCCAATCCTCCTCGCGAGCTCCCGAACACTACACGGAGTGCTTGAGGACACCGCCTGCACAACTCCGTTTGACTGTCAGTAAGTACGTTAGTCGCAAGGTGGGCAGGCGGGCAGGCAAGATAGAGGTAACAATTAGATGCAATTAGTAGATAGGTAGGTAGGTAGGTCGGTAGGTCGGTAGGTCGGTAGGTAGGTAGGGAGGTAGGTAGGTAGGTAATGGTAGGATGGTAGGATGGTAGGATGGTAGGATGGTAGGATGGTAGGTAGGTAGGTAGGTAGGTAGGTAGGTAGGTAGGTAGGTAATGGTAGGATGGTAGGTAGGTAGGTAGGTAGGTAGGTGGGTATGTAGGTTGGTAGGTAGGTAGGTAGGTAGGTAGGTAGGTAGGTAGGAAGCAGGAAAGTACGTACGCCGCACATACGTGTGCACCTTTGGGGGTATACTACACATACGCACGTTAGTATAGGTTATATAGTACTATATATGTACGCTTATGCTGATCCGGTGGTGCATATGCTTAAACTGATCCTGAGAAAGGAGAAAAATTATCATGACAGTGATGATGACGATGGTGATGCTGAATGCGGCTGCTGATGATGATGGTGGTCATGCTAGTGATGACTACGATAACGATGCATCGAGAAAGCGGCATCGAGAAGCTGGCGTTGCTTCTCTGCTGCCTTCTACATACTTCCTCGAGTTCTCAACTCCTCTCACCCACCAGGTCAGAGGGGGTGAACATCTTCGATTGATAAGTGTGCCAGCGGCTGTCAAATTGAATTCGACTCTTGAAGGTGCCAAAGTTCTGAGGCCATGGGCACTGACTTCGCGAGAGGATGTTTTGAAGCTTCGCTCCTCGTTCTTCTTTACGAGCTCTTCGTTAGGTGCTGTCTCACTGATGAAGTAGCCCTGGCTGACGGAAGGTCCGCCTGCGAACTCAGCTATCGCCTCAATGAGCCAATGACTCGCTACACTCAGCCTGCCCTGCCCAGCCTATGAGGACTTCACCCCGGCGCATGCCAATCTCAGGCTTTTCCAGATCGGAGTTCATGTAGTTGCCATCCGGCCAATCGGCCAAACGGATCGTTGTGCAAACCGTCGGCACGCCCACGGCACCTTTCACTGCAGCGACAATCTCAAGCGAATGGCAACTTTGCCTTTTGCTATGTTTTGCCATATCGAGCCTGTCGAGCTGTCACCCCAGAACTGAACACAGCTTCCGGCACAAGTTTCGGTGAGACCGTAGCCCTGTCTTGTGGGGGCATTCAAGACCTCGGTTTCCAGAGCCGCGCTTGGCAAATCACTCCCTGTTTCTCCACTCTCATGGCAAGCAGCTGTTTGGATGAACTTCTGGATGTCCGGTGAGAGCGGGGCCTTGAAAGAAAGAGCCATCCGATTCGACAATTCGTGCTGTGTTTTTTGACATAGAGCCGCCCGGAGACAGATCCCGTGGCAATGCCTTTTAGCCGTCCACCCATCAGATTCTGGACCTTCGGGGACAGATACAGTGGTATGCCACTAAGCTGCTGCTATGTGGACCTAGAGATCAATCGGTGTGAAGGGCACACCGTAGCACTACTCGGCTCGACTGGTCGCGAATTCTACACGTGCGAATCCTACAGCCTTCTTGAAAACCAGCGCATCCAAGACAAAGTTTGCACCGACTTGACCACGTTCGAAGTGCCTGTATCCAGACCTGACCGCAATTACGAACACCAATGAGGGATGAGATGCCAAGCAGCGAACGCTCAAGAGCGTGTGAGATCTTATAAGGACAGGACGACAAACCCCAGTCGAACAGTGTCTGGCCAACGTAACCGAGGCCGTTGCCTCAGACGTCGAGGAATCATGGAACAGATAGACGGACAAGACAAGCGTGTGGCCAAGCAGCGCTTCGCAGTCACTGCCTGGTAAACCTTGTCCAAGACAGCCGGAGCGAAAACCTCGCTCATCGGCTTCTCAATTCAAACGCATGCGGCCCGATCCGCTACGCAAAACTGAAAGGAGTACTTCTGCTAAGTAGTGCAGTCAGTCCCTGAGCCAGCAGCCATGATAGTAGGCTGTAACACTGGTGCGTCTCCAGAAGACTCAGGCCTTTTCAGCTTGACACCGTTGTCCTGCAATTCGGAACCGTCGGAACTAAATGATTGTACTTCGACAGCTCCATGTGGTCCGTGAGGGTGTGAGGCGTCCCATAGCCGATTGCCAGACCCATCGACATCATGCACACCTGCGGAGAAAGCCATGCACGGATGAAGAATGCTGCTCTTGATCCGTTCTCTTTCTCGGTGCTTTCTTCAGTATCTCATCTAGCTTCTGATGTCGCTGAATGCAATGCCAAGTCTTCACCCAACAAGAGAAGAGAGGACAGTCCAATCAAACAACAAACGAAAGCCCAAACAAGGCAGGGACAGCATAGGCCCAAAACCAAAGCAAGAACCATAAACTGCTCTTCTGTCCAAACACCGCATATAATCTTACAAAGTGCAAGACCCAGTGCCCGTTCCATCCCTTTTTGATCACGCTTCCACTTCCCCTCAAACGCACTGCCAAGCCCGGCCACACCGAGTACTAGCCTGGATGTTCGCTTTGACTCTGCAGACTTTCTGCAACTTGTCAAACCCTCCCCATTGCTTGACCGGGCTTGTATGCACTTTCTGGCATGGCATGGCTGTCAAGGCTCGGGCATGCTGCGGCTTGGGCTTCAGCGGCTTCAATCTAGTCTTCAGCTGCATGACAGTAGGGCCTTGGGCTAGCGGTTTGAAGGAGCCTCGAGCTCTTGTGCAATGCTGGCCTGTGCAGCCATCTCGAAGATGTGCGCCAGCGGAAGGTAGGCCAAGTACACGTCCTCCAGGGAGCCAGCCGGGCAGCCGGGCAAGGGGGAAGAAGCGAGCACGGTTCAGTCCCCAGATGTCCCCAGGGCCAAACTTTCCGGTGAAGTAATGTTCAACGCCCGCAACCACAGCAACCACGTTGGCGTGGGTGAGAAGCACTCCTCTAGCAAAATCCATGTGACGGACGTGGAAATTGCACACCCGGGCCTTTGGGAGCACCGGTGGTGCCAGAAGTGTACATGATGATGGCAATGTCGGATGGCTTGGCTGTCTGCAACTGACAGGACCTGAGGGAAAGGACGGCATGCTCCGAAGCCCGAGCACTGAGGCATCTTTCCTCTTGTTGTTTCCTGGGCCGAGTTCTGGACTCCTTGCTGCCACGTGTGACGCACTCCTTGGCTGTAGAACTGCGCACAAGCCGAGGAGTGGACTAGCTGGACATCCCACCCTGTACCAACAAGGTTGGCTTTGTCATAAGCATTCGTAAACTGTAGCATGCCTCAGAACGAGGGCGTGAGAGAGTGTAAGATATTGTAAGATGTCGCATCGCACCTAAGCCTGTTGCACACAGGGATCCTCGAGCGTCTCCACATGCACGCCCGCATCTTGCATCGTCTTGGCAACCGTCGCATCACACTCCGTCCTTGAGTTGGGCTTCAAATCTGCTTACCACAAAGGAAAAGTGGATTCTCGATTGGACTTACAAGGGCTTCGTGTGGGATTTGTGTTCGAGACACCATGCTCCTCTACGCATCCCGTCACCAGCACTCTGCACCACATTTGCCGGAATCCTGGAACATACTGCGCAGTTCCTGGCTATTTACAACAGGCTCACTCCCGTCCCGCCATCAAACATTATGTGCTACTGCTTCAAACTGCAGGGCCGCTGTCTCACTCCCATTCTTCTTGATGTTGCGGCGCCTCTACTAGGAAACATGTCAGCAACAAGGGAAAACATGTCGTTCAAGTTATCTCCTCTTGAAGTATGTGGCAAACGCACTGGCGGCTGACATCAATTTGTTTGAGGTTTCACATATCCGCCTTTCACATCTTTTGTTTCTCTGGTATACAGAACCAAGCTCAGGACTCAGCATGCGATTCCAAAAAGCATCGAATCATGCGCACTCGCACGCAAACACAAACGCCTATGCGCGCACACAACCAAGACCCACACCATCCAAAAATTACCTCCTGCACCCATCCACCCCCCCTCCCTCCCCCACAAACACACAGACCCTCGTGCGCGGGGGCACGAACAGGCAGAAACGCTTACAATCGTGATCAACTTATGGGTACGTCGAATACAGTAAGTAAGTTAAACCACACCGCTTCATGGGGAACAGGGTGTTTAGGTACCTAGCTACATTTCAGAGTCTCCAGCTGCACCTCGGTGCTCCTTATTATTTGGGCAGGAGCAACTTGCATGAATAAGGCATGCCAAGGACTGTATTGCTTCCTTATTTAACTAAAGCCCCTCATAGCTAAAGCTTTCTGGGGAAGTATTTGTGTGTGAGCGTGTGCGCGTGTGTGTCTCTGTCTCTGTGTGTGTGTGTGTTTGACGCAGTGCGACCACATGCGACCACCCTTAGACAGAATTTCAGCATGGTGGGACCGAAACCTAGCATGCCCCATGTGGCATCCCGAACGACGCCCTGGATGATCCCTTCCTGACCGTTTCAATAGCTTCCGCAAGCTGCATTTGGTGATCAAAAAACCCCATAGCCCGGATTTTGGCTGGGTTTTTGGGTCCGTGCCCAAGGACAAAAGGATCAAAGATTGCAATGGGACTCCTAGCTGGCATCTACGTGGTATCGTGAATGTCTGGCTGCCTCACAAGGCACCGATCATTTGTTCACATACTCTGATGCAGCCAAGATACATGGTGAACACTCGCTTGATAGATTTGCACCTTCAGTCTCACTGACTCATACCAAAACCTGCCAATGTCAAATGTATACAACTAGCTGCCGGCAGAGGCTTGTTATCATCTGCTGATCCGACCGTATCCCTGATCAAGCATTCCCAGCACATGTCCGAAATGTGCGCCGCAGATTTGCCCGTCTGCATGCCATGGCACTTCGGAAGAATTTTTGATAGAACTTTCAGGAGCTTGGCATCGACCACCACGGTGCTGGCTTCCGTCTCATTGATGCCGTACGAAGCACCCTCCTCGCCTCAAGGACCAAAGAGACATGTCTGGTCTTGCCAAATCGTTCGATCCCCCCCAGTGCAACTGCCCACTCTTCTGCCCAGCCTAGTGTGGCATAGATTGTCACGACCTGCTGTCGCGCTGACATTGCACAGCCGCCCTGCAAATTCCCGAAATCGACTTTACCAGCTAATCACTGATCTCGAAGCGCAGCACACTTCATCGCAGTGCTGTCAGTTTCTGTGTGTCTGTCCATGCCCTGCGCACCCTTTATGCTCATCTGTACTTTGTTCTCCTCCCTTCTTGCAAGGGTATCGGGAGAAAGCAAACTCAAACAGACAATTCGGGCACGAGCGGTGGCGGGAAGTACTCCCGGAACAAAACTGCTTCACGACAACACAACACGGCACTGAGCCGCCCAGTCATACCCCTGGGCCTGCCTGCTTCATTGACCTGCCTTCCCGAAATACCCGGCGATGCCCTGCACTGGCCTGCCTTGCAGTTGAGCTGCCACGCCGCATAAGCGCTGACCATCCAGTCGCGTTGTGTTTCGGCGTAGATTACTACGCGGGATTCGGGCTCGACGCCTGAACAACAGCAGCGTCGGCTCTCTGACTGAGATTCGGAAGCACCTGAGCGCTTCGCAGTGTTAGATGCTAAGAGGGGGCCTAATGCTGCCATCCCCTTCGCCAGGTTCTCAGTGCGAATGAAGAGCTCGTTGTATGACATCCAATTGTACCTTGGCGCATCGGAAAGAGACAACTCGACACCATTATGCAGATTTATGTGCAACGCCCTTCCATCGTTTCGATTATAGTTTCCGAGGGGCTTATTTTCCAGCTCGATCTTCTCTCTCTTGGTGCCGCTTCCATCCTGTTCAGGCAGGTTTCTCGCAGAGCGCAGGACTAGGCGGCAAATGCAAGAGGAATCAGGAGCACGGACACATAAGGCAAGTATGTGCGCTACACTTTGGCGATTCATTACCGGTGCTGCTACCAGCTCCAACAGCAGCGAAGCATGTCCATGGTCCGTGATGAGCGCGCGACCTCGATCTGGTGGACCTTGACGACATTGCGCCAGCCAACACCTTGTTGATCACCAAGCTTCTCCTCAACAGGATCTCATGCATCTTGAGCCGTGCTTTTGAATACGAAGGCTTGCAAGCATCGCAGTCAGGCCTTTGTCTTCTGAAGCACCTGCAGAATCGTCTCGGCACCATTCGAAGGCTTCTCCCTGCAAGGCTTTCACAAGCAGGTTGATACCTTGATTCCCATGAAGCTCTCAACTCGGGCACCGGCTTGAACTTCCTCTGAGCTTCAACATTCCACAAGCACGGACCGAAGCCGTCTTTCACCGAGTCCAGATCCAGGTCTCCCCACCTCTGCAAGCAAGGCCGTCTGCCGACTTCGGGCTGCGTGCAAACCGACTTTTCTTTTGCTGGCACTGACAAATCACACCCGGGGATTGCTCCTCCGTCTTGTGCTGTCAGCCTCAAGCTTCCCGCCCAAATTCCGAAAGCCCTGTGCCAAGTGGTCCAAAGCACGGACCAGCAGCAGCCAAGTCGCTTCTCGTACTGCCGCATGGGATCCAGCGTTGAAGGGTCCATGCTGTGTAGGTTACTTGCGACAAAGCTTCCTTAAGTGGCTTGGGCCGATGCTGCAGAAAACGTAGAACAAAGGCCAACAGCACCCTTGCCCGATGGAATGGGCGCATACACTACGGCACTGCTGCAAACTACCTGCTGGAGAGAAAAGTTGTGCTGCGTTTTCAACAAGTCCGCAATCGAGCCTGGTAGTTGTCGGAGCCAATCTGCCACGGCAAACACACTGACGAGGGGATAAGGTCAGGACGGCAAATGTCCAATTTAACATGCAGTCACAGTCTAGGTTTGTCAAATTCGCTGTGTTCAGTGTTGCCACACGGGCCCAATCTCACATCCGAACTGTACTGTAATTATTGACGAAAATTCTCATGCTGGGGACCCCGCGACCCTGTACAACAACTGAAAAACCCTATGTACAGCTTCTCAAGACATGCTTGCTGTTCGACTGTGGACAACCCTGACCTAATTTTCAAGAGCTACTTCGTCTTTTCGGTCGTACCCTGTGCTCACAGCCCCTGCAAAATGCAGAGGTTTGCCTCCCTCGCTCCCACCCTCCCTCCCTCCCCCCCTCAGTGAGGGAATGAGGGATGTTCAAATCCCCCGGGCAGCTAGCTCAACCGAACATTTTGATCGGGCGTTCGGAGGAGTGAAGAACGAGTGTGGCCACTTGAAGGGCTATAGCCTGAGGAACGAGTGTAGCCACTTGAAGGGCTATGGCCTGGAAGTTCCCTCCCTCCCGCCCTCCTCTCTTTTTCCCGCTCCCTTGCCGGGCATGGGGGACGTTCAAATCCCCGGGGCAGCTAGCCCAACCGAACCTTTTGATCGGGCGTTCGAGTGTAGCCACTTGAGGGGTGCTTCAAGTCTGCGCTCTCTCTCTCTCTCTCTTTTTTTCCTTCCCCCCCCCTCGTTGTGGTTGTGGTTGTGGTTGTGGTTGTTGCTGCCGCTGCTGTTGCTGCATAGTTGCTACAAGAAAGCCCTTGATGTCGCCTGCGTGCTAGCATAGTAGTAGCAGTAGCAATATTAGTAGTAGTAGTAGTAGTAGTAGTAGTATTTGCATTGCACACGTCACACAAGTCTGTGCTCGACGAGAGAGGACAGATGTTAACATCCGGCCGTTCTGTTGACGGCTTCGCTCTTTAGTGAATCCCGTAAAGGCAACGGCTAGGTCTGAAATCTAATCCGTCGCTTCTAAGTCAAAAACATCTGCACCGTCCAGCTTCACATCTCCTCCTTTAGCAGTCGGATAAAACGCCTGACCACTCTCCGATGTAGCTGTAGCTGCTGCGGGCTCCTCATTCAAAAACTCAGCCAAGCTGCTTGGTTCACCTGGTGTCAAGGGCTCTGTCACGGTTGGCACATTCTCCACTGTGCTTTCCATAACAGGCAGACCATCTGCACTCGAGACGCTCATATCATCATCAGAGTCACTGGTCACTGCTTATCCAGACAACTGCAGCTTGCAAAACAGGTTCACCCGAGCTCGCCGCATTGCTGGACATGCCCTGCGCAGTTGAAGAGCCAGGTCCGGTGATGGACACGGCGCCTCTGGCACCGTTTCCCAGTTCAGTAGATACCGGCTTGAGCCCTTTCCTCCACTGCCAAGGCCGACGAGGATGCACTGAAATCATCGTCACGGCGCGTTGCAATCTGCACCATGACCATCCTCTGTCTTGCATCGCACCGAGTACTATGCCGCTCGCCATTGTGCCAGACACAGAAAGTACAGCAGTGCGTATGCATCACACCCGCCACTCGAGTATGGTTGCGCACTGTGCATTCCGACAGCCTGGTGCGCCGCTCCCTGTTGCGTCTGCGCTCCCACTGCTCATCACATCTTTCTGTGTGGCGCATAGCTGAGCACAACGAGCAGCTGTGACGATGCGACCTTCCGCGCCGGCGCGGGCGCTTGTTGCGAAAGCATCTATTGCAGCCATGCGTCTGACACAGCCGAAGTCCCGCATCCACAGGATTCGCAGGATCACCCGACATTGGCCACTGCGGTTGCTGCTGTGCCCCTGTCTCCCTATCTGCATCAGACGGACCTGCGGAGGCTGAGGCACCTCCACCTGCAGCTGCGCCAGCTGCGTGCTGCTGCGAACGACGATCCGCCCATGCCATGGCCTCAGTCCAATTAGGGAAAAGGGGGGAGAGGGAGATTAAGGCTGAGTGGCAGTACCACCCGCAGCCAAGCAGTGCAGCTCTTATCAGCTCTTAGCACAACAATCAATGCGTCGCTTGCAACAAGCTGTCCTGTGCATACACTTGCACACGGAGTGGAAGCCTCTCTGCTCGGGCCATGGGCGTTGTGTGCATCTAGCCTGTCTCTGCAAGGAACGTGGCGCCGCAACGACTAGGGTTGTTGCCGCTTGAGGGCACTTCACATCCCATCAAGCAGAGATGGGGAAATTTCGCATACAGCATCACACTCTTGCACGAAGCCTCCTAGAAGCCCCCAAGAACCCCAGAACCCTGGAAACACATGCTTCGCGTCCTCTAGCACGCACAGCACTGGTGAGGCCACCTAGTCCCAGACCTACGAAGCCAGGTTGCCTCTGACAATTAACTAGGGCCAACATCCTACGGTGGTACAAAGCCTGCTTCCAGCAGCATTGCATGCTCGTCGGCTTTGGCCGCCATGTGTTGGCCTGCTGTGTACGCGATGACGACGCATCGGTGACCGAATTTCCACGGCATGGTGCTGTGTAGTATGTGCCTCGCATCAAACAGGACAGCCTGTCCATTGATGGGAAAGATGCTGCCGCGCTCATGCCGTCTTCAATGTCCACGTAGACCGTGCCATCAGGAGACTTGAGCCACACCCTGCTGGTGATGGGTGAGACCCAGCAACAGGCTTAGCTTGGGGGCATTGCCCACGTCAACATGCGGCGCCGTGGCATTGTCGATCCCCTACACTGTGAGCGAGGTCCACTTATGATCACTTCGCGTCCGACATGTAGCAATATGATCGCTCGTGTGCTTGGACATGCCAACCAAACCTCCCTTACTGTATAGCCCGAACTTCATGTAGCGACCTGTGGCCATTGGTCTTGGATCCAGCTGAAAGTCCAAGCATCTGCACCCAGAGCGACCCATCCGTTCTGCTTCTGAGGATTCACAGGCATTGACCAAACAAGGCACCGGATATGTAACAGCCGTGTGGGTCATGGCAAAGCGATCCAGCACCTCAAGGAGCCTGGAGAATGCATTGTCAGGCAGCAGGTTCTGAGCTAGATAGACCAATTCATTTCTGGTCGCCAGCGTAGCAGCTGGCGGGAGGCTGACGCCTGCCGGTAGCAGATTCCACATGACCTGCAAGATCTCAGCTTGCTCCGCCGCTGCAAGTCGCATGTGACTAGGCAGCTCTAGGACAGCCATAGCTGAAAGGGCTTAATCCGGGCCGACCTAGACCCAGAAAATAACTCAGATAGTGGTCACACTGAACCGACACAGCCTACGGCAGGCACGACAGCGGGCATCCATCAGTGAAGGCAATGCGTTGAGGCTCGAGTAGACTGCGCTCCCTAACGCAGTCTGGCAGTGCCGACCTAGGCCCTGCCACAACGCTCGAGCCAAGGCGCTGGGCATAAGCGCGAGGAGTGGTGCACTGATGCAATGATCCGTCTTGAAAGCGATGAATATATGCGTCACAGACAAACTGAAGAAACTTATCGTGCTTGCAGGCCGCACAAGCGCGGCAGAAGTGTTTTGGAACAGAGTGGGAAACGCTTCGGCATCAAGCCATGATGGCAGGAACTTGTGCAAGGCCCTCCTGCTGGGCCTGCACTGCTGTTATGGACTGCGAATGAGTCCAACCAGGTATGCGTTATGGTCGATTAGTCTGAGGTCACTAGCCTTCGCAGTCTTGGGAACCTGGCCATCATTGCAGACATAATAGTTCCAGCTATCGCCCCGGGTAGCCCAAGAAAGGTCATGTAATGCCCGCTATTAACAGTTTCCCCCATATGATAAGCCATAACAGCAGCCGTGAAGGACTCATGGTGTGTGTCTAGTCCAGCTGCATTAGAAAAGATGGGAACTGCGACCTGGTCACCTGGCCGCATGCGCAGCTGACGCGTACACTTAGCAGAGCCATATAAGTAGCGTTCGAGCTGAAACCAGATTATCACTGGGTGCACTACCAGGGCATGCAGCGTTGTCTGTTGGTGCCAGTTATCCAAGAGGGACTGCAATGTGAGCACAGGCGCACCTGCGATAGGCAGGATGATGGCATGCTCCAGCGTTCCCGAGTCAACAGCGCAATCATCAGAGCCATCTCGAGCGTCCCAGCACCCTCGATAGGCTGCCGACTGTGTGGCAGCCAGAAAGTGATGCAAACATTCACCTGCATCATGTTGCTGGTGCATTTGCGGCCATCGAGCAAAAAACCCACGGAGGGGCAACGAGTCAGCTACGCTAACCGTTCCGGTGGCATGAAAAATGCGCATGCCTGCCAGCAGCCTGCCATGATAAGCTGCAACACCCGAAGACAGTTCGCCCGACCAGTGGGCAGCCTGAAGCACACTATTAACGTAGCAGAGGTTGCTGCGATTAAGCAGGCGAGTGCGGGTCAGGCTGAGCCCCTCACGGATGCAAAGCCGCACTCCCTCATGTGCGGCAGCAGAAAGCGGCCCTACGCCTTCTGCTTCTACTTGCGCTGCCATCGATCGCCCCCCGGCTCCAATCGCAGTAGGGCACTGCCAAATAGGCAGCCTCCAATGCCTTGGTGAGCGGTGGTTTTTGGATCCGCTTCGGTCGCAGCCTTACTCCCTGGAGCTTCATTGCAGCACAACCGCTCAGTGCCTTGAGCGCTTGATGACAGAGCTCGCTCGATGAGCCTCGGAGGCTGAGCGTGAGGTTGAACGGAATCACCTCCACCTCGTACTTCTCCTGCAGCTCCTTCGGCGTGGAGAACCTGGCTAGGACTCCCTCTCTTGGCAAGTGCTCGAGCAGGGAGTCGATCATCCTCAGGCGCTGTGCATGCTTCAGGGGCGGATCCTGGAGAA